ACTTAAGTCTACATGGATGCGTGTAACACAAGTGCCAATTCTCACTTGACGCTAACATGTAATATAATATAGGTATTCACCAAATGGAGCAAGTGGCCTGGCACGCTGGTAAAAGAGCAGATTAGCTCAAGCAACGGCGTCGTCCTGTAGTATGTTTCGTGTCTCAGGGGCGTAGCAGATGTGTATAAGGTTAGCGAAACAACATGAAGAAAAGAATGTCGCATATACCCATGAATTTGCCGTTAATTAGCTGTGGAAAAAATAATTTTGTCGTTCTTGTATTTTTTTAGGTATAAAGTGTTTTGCTAACTTTATATAAAGTTAGCGAAGCACCCCTCTAACTCAAAGATAAAAGACTAAGCTGTATATCCAAATTTTCCGTTTTTTGCCGTTCCAAGATGAACTAGTTTACTTTTCAAAAATTTGTTTTTTTTTTCAAATAAAAAAATAATTGTTTTTTTTGGAATTTTTTTCAATGTTCAATAATTTTTAGAAGAAAAGAATAATAATAAAATAGAAAAGCAAAACCGGTTGCTTTATATACCACTTTGAAATTTGAACAAACAATAATCACCATGGTTAATATTAAAAAATTAAGAACCATCCTTCTCAAGTTCAGCAAAGAGTTCAAGATTCATAGAAAATTGCTATATAACTTGTATCCCCCTTTCGCCATCTGCATAATATTCGCCTCAAATAATAATTACTTGAGTAAATAATAACTGCATCAATTCTTAGCCTCTTTGAATAAAACATAATAATGAAAAAATCAAAACAGTTTTTAAACGAGCCACATAGAAAATTATGCAACAAAAAAATGGATTGTATTTTTAATTACTTACTAAACTTACTAAACGAGGCTAACCGAAATTATGCAGCTAAAAAATTAATATATTTTTTTTATCTTTTTTAACTAATTTTTAAGCCGCTTTCCAAATCCCTAAAATTATTCTAAAAATAAGGCTGTTTAAACAAAAACAAAATTAAACGACAAAATCAAAAACAGTTTTAATGCACAAAACAAGTCAAACGGCAAATTATGTAGCATAAAAATTAATTGTTTTTATTATTTTTAACCAATTTTTAAACCACTTTCCAAGTCATCCTACCTGTCTACGCTCTTGGAACAGACTTAACGAATAAAATCTTGCCCATTTTTTGCCCAAAGGCATCTTTTTTAAACTTAAGTGATATATTCCACGGGAAGCTTTATGAAAATTGTTTGAGTATGATAAAAGTGAAAAGCCATAATTTAAGAATTATCAACTTGAAATTTGGCATGCGTGCTTAGAAAAACATAGGCTTCAATATGGCTACATATGGAGAGCTTTTTTCAACTACTGTAAAAGGGGACTAGTTTCGAACTTACTCAGTCTATACAGCATGTCCCAGTGATAAGTGCTTTTCTTTTGGGAGGTGATAGGAGATCTCTAGACAAACAAAAAATTTGTATGGGTGGTGGGATCTAAAATGCAGCCCTGGGGAGTTATAGGGTTAACCCTAGAACACACACCCAGAAAATACCACGTAAACACACACCCGGGATACGTTTGTACCCGGGACCTTATTTTGCGATTTTTTTAATGCTTATTCAACCGATTTCTATGATTTTTTTTTTGAAATGTATATTTTAATATATAACAAGTATTTTGTCTTTTGTTTCATTCGAATATTCATACTGGTTCTACTGGATATGGGCAAATAAAGTCAGGACATGCAACAGTGGATTTTTGTTTTTGTTGTTATCCTGATAAATGCAAAACAAAATAATATAATTTATAATAATATACTTGTAGAGTAACAACGAATACACATTTTGGTTTTTATTTCATTGAAATATTCTACCTGGTTCAAAAGATATGTGCAAAAAGGTCGCGCAAGGTATGGGTACGTAGGTAGCAAATACACTGGTATAACTGGTTTTTGTATTTTATATGCAGCTGCAAGGGTTGTTTTCACACGAGGTGTTGTTATAAATGCTGCCTGTTGATATTTTCATTATTGTTTTGGTGCTCAAAAGTGTAAGAAGTGAAAATATAAGTGAAAATAAATATAACTGAAACTATAAATAACTGGATACGAAATGACTTCAAGAAGAAACGAATATTTATCAAGTGCAGCATATAGAAGGTAAAAAATGTAAAATAAGCAACAATGTAAACATATACTAATTTTTTTTATTATGCAGGCTAACTGAGGAACAGCGAGAATCATATATACAATCTTTATTTGATGAAATTTGTGACGATGACGCTCCCTATGACTTTGACTCAGAAGATGAAGAAGAAATTCAAATCAATGACATTGAAATTGCTGATGACGATGCTGAAGTTTCGCAAAGTGCCGCAGAAGTATTACCTGATTATGCGGACTATGAGGATGATGAAGAAGACGATGAAGAAGAAGAAGTAGAAGAAAATAATGAATTACCTGCTAGTGCCGAAAAATTTGTTGCACGTGATGGTACTGAGTGGATGAAAGAACCAAATGTAAGTCGTCAGGTACTCAGACAAAATATTATAAGAGAACGTTCTGGACCAGCTAGATGCACTGAAATGTTGTCAATAGAGCAAACATTCAAATGTTTCATGAACGTTGAAATGGCTGATATAATTATGCGCCACACAAATAAGTTAGCAAAAGAAACTTATAATGCTTACAACAATGCGCATCCAAACACAACTCCTAAGTCATGGACGCCTGTGTCAATAACAGAGCTGTATGCATTTTTTGGCATACTTATTATGACTGGTGCGAACCATAGCAATGGAGAACATGTTCGAGATTTATGGAGCGTCAAAAACTATCCTTTATATCGCGCCACAATGGGAGTCAACCGTTTCTGTTCGATATTGCGGTTCCTAAGATTTGACGATAAAAACACTCGTGCAACACGCTTACTAACTGATAAAGCAGCACCGATCAGTGAGTTGTGGACGATGATGAACAATAATCTTGCTGCACATTACAAGCCCAGCTCATGCTTGACGATTGATGAACAATTATTTCCTTACCGTGGACGCACACGGTTTACGCAGTACATACCGTCAAAACCTGCTAAATATGGTATCAAGGTTTGGTGGATTTGCGATGCCACAAATGCATATCCACTGCATGGACAAATATATACTGGCCAAGCAGAAACTGGTAGGGAAACGAACCAAGGCGAACGAGTGGTGAAGGATTTGTCTGCCAAATACCAAGGAAGTGGCCGAAACATTACAATGGACAATTTGTTTACGACCTTGCCAGTTGCAGAACTGCTTCTCACCTGGAAACTCACGATCGTTGGAACTTTGCGCAAAAACAAATCATATATTCCTCAAGAAATGAAGCAGAACAAAAACAGGACAATTGGTTCAACGACATTTGGCTTCAAAAATAATGTGACAATGTGCTCTTATGTTCCCAAAAAAAATAAAGCAGTAATTTTGCTTTCGACCATGCATAATGATGCTGAAATAGCTGACAGTGGGAAACCTGAAATAATTGAATATTATAATCGTACCAAAGGTGGTGTTGATCGAATGGACCAAATGTTTGCGGAATATCCAACACAAAGACAAACAAAACGATGGCCACTAGCGATGTTCTTCAACATGTTGGACATTACAGCTCTTGCAGCCTACATTGTCTACGATTTGAATAACCCTATGTTGCCTTGGAGAACAAACAACAAGCGTAAGCAGATCCTGCGCAGCTTGGCTGAAGCATTGTGTATGCCCATTATTGAAGCCAGAGCCATAAATCGTCAAGTGACGCGAAATTTTTCGACTAAAATTGCTATTGAAGCATATTTCAACCGACCGGTGGAATCAATGGTGTCAACAGCAGCATCAACATCTGCCGCAGCGCGCACGCCAAAACCTGTGTCCGGATCTTGCTATTTATGTTACGCACAAGAGGAAAAACGCCGTAGAAAAACCAGAAAGCTGTGCGACAAATGTAAGAAGCCAATGTGTCTTGAACATTCGGTCACATCAACAAATTGCTCTATTTGCCATGATTTTCCTTAGATATAAGATGCATTTTTATAATTTTTATAATAAAAGTCAATAATATAATGTGTGAAATGAATATTTTTAATTTTTCAAATAAAAAAATAATATAAAAAATATTTTTTTTTTTATTATTATGAGGATTTTTACTATTGGGGTACAAACGTATCCCGGGTGTGTGTTTACGTATATAATGTGTTTGGAAGGCTGTAGCTCCTGAACCAATGGTCCGATCTGGTTCAAATTTTGAATTTGAACTCAAAACTAAATAATCTTCCTAGATCCTAGTTAGCGGTATAGAGGTATAGCGGTTCAAAAGTTACAACACTTCAAAGTTGAAAGTGGATACATTTGTACCCGGGTGTGTGTTCTAGGGTTAAGAAAGTGATCGGCAGTAGTTATAGTAAGAAATTCTCACACCTAAATGAAAAACCCTAGTGAAAAACTACCTATGGAACTTTTTCAGCCAATTGTAATGGCTTTTTAGAAAAAAATATCTTGGAGGTGTTTTGTTAGTTTTTAGGCAAATTTGGGTATGATAAACTCAAAACTTCAAGAATTTTTTACCCTCGGTTTACTTTAGTGACCATTTTGGTATAAAAAAGGTCCTGATGTTTTTGAGCTCAATTGGGATTCTATTGGGCCTCCAGGTTGTTTGTCGTCTTTGTTTTTTGTGCGGCTACAACGCAAATCAGTAAACCACTTCTTTGCCATTAAGTTTTATGGAATAGAGCCCCCATAGTATTTATAAAGGTTATACTTGGTATAAGTAATGTTCATCCGCAAAACTAATATTCGAAGAACACTCGAAAATTATTTTTTTTTCGGAAAAATTCACGCAGTCGTCTGCTCCCAATGATTCTACCGACAGAAAATAATTGCAATTAGCATTACGGAAAATTCAGAAAGTCACGGATTTGCAAGACACTTTGCCCTGTAAAGCTTTATTTATATGATTATACTAGTTTCATTAATAAAATAAGTCACTTCACTAATTTACAGGATTATCGGATACCAAACTCCATGAAGTCTATCTGGACAACACCGAAATAAAACTCAGTTGGATGGTGGACTGGTATAAGCAAGAGGTTCTGTTTCATTTGCAAAATGCGTTTAATGAAAATCATCGTTGGTTCTATTTGGGCTTCTCGAAGCGTGGCGAATTGGGCGATGCTGACATCTGTTTCTTTGAAAATCAAAATGGATTTTTTAACACTGTCACTGACACTTACACAAGTCCGGATGGAAAATTTATACGAAGAGACTATCAGCAAGATTGTGTACTGTTCAAGATGGATGAATACACGTTGGCATTTAAGCGGAAATTTGACACATGCGATCCGCTGGATTTGAGAATGCACGTAAGGAAGAATATGTAGAATAAAGACAATTATTTTATTATTTTTGTTTGTCTGAACTTAGTACACCAAACAACGTGTGCAAAAAAAAACCGCACCCAGGCTACATACCGCCCATTGTAGAGTACAGTTTGTAATTGCAGTTTATACCATTTACTGATGTACATTAGGGTGGTTCTTAAATGTAGGAAGAAAATGTTTGCATCAAATTTCCTAAGCCTCAGCCACGTCGATGCTACTATAGTCGAAGATATCACATATAAATTTTGGTCCCCATTGGAGACGGTTAGGGCGTATCGCACAGGGGGCAAAGTTCAGATTCCTCTATAGAGACTCAAACAATTTAAATTGAACTTTTTTCGTCTAATACCCTAAATCGATACTACTATAGTCAAACATATCATATATAAATTTTGGTCCCGATTGAAATCTGTTAAGGCGTGTAGCAACAGGAGTCAAAGTTCAGTTATGAAGACGACTTAACCGACCCCAATCGGGACCAAAATTTATAAGTGATATCCTTGACTTTAGTAGTATCGATTAAATGAAAAAATTAAAGTATTTTTAATTTTTTGAGTCCGGCATTCGACCCCTATGCGACACGCCTTAGCCAACTCCAGTCGGGACCAAAATGTATATGTGATATCTGTGACCTTGGTATTTCCGATTGATGGGGTGAGACTTGAAAAAGTCGTTAATTTGATTGTAAGGACCACCCTAATGTACATACATATCGCACACGATCTTCAAAAGTGGCACAACTATAAATTTGGCTTTTTTGAAAGTATGCACAAAAAATGTATACAGAGCTTTTATTTACCTTTCCGTAAAAGCTGGAGCAAATTTTTTTTATAATTTGTTTAAAAAACATAAGGTATAGTATCCTTGCCCATATGATTAGCATGTGCTTAAAAATAGTTTTTCTCATTTTCTAACGAACGTGTAATTTTTAGTTGTGTCACCTTTGAACATCGTGTGCGATATATAGATTTTATCAGGGCTTCGGAGCGCAACGGAGCTGAGGAGCAAAGGATTTTGGCTGGAGCGGAGCTGGAACAAAGAGCTAAAATAAAATTTACTAAACTTTTTTTATTTTTTCCACTGAAAACAACCGTGTTAAATAAATCTTCATTATATTTTTACTTGAAAATACTGTTCATTACACAATGCCCAGCAGTCAGGGATAATTCCCACCTCCATTTGAACGGTGATGAAAAAACAATGACTTCCCAAACAGCAGTGCTGTCTCCTAGAATTTTACGTATCCGAAAACGAACGGAAAGGACTTAAATTTTCATTCATTGTCGTATTTGGAAAACGTTCGAAAATTATGATTTTATTTGAAAGCAATAATTGTATTTTATTTGTTCAAGCTGAACATTTGAAAGCATATATGTATACGTAGTCGGCAGTGGCTGCAGAAGAGCGTGCTAATATTTGTTAGCTTTCAGAGCGTGCAGGGTTCGTATGCCCTCATCTGCTGCCTTATTTTTTCGAGCGATGAAAACCCATATATGAAGTGCAGAAGGAAAGCGTATTGAACGAAAAATTCAATAAGACAAATTTCAGAAAAATAGCCAAAAATGTATCCGTTTCAAAACAATTTTCGGTTCTTGTCCGTACATACGTTTCTGCCGCACAATTTAGTGGAAAAATTTAGTAGTCAAAGTATTCGAAAATGGAATCGGTAAACGGCTGGGTTAATATCTGTCATCTATCTATATATACTAGTATCGCCCAGTTGTCGAAATTCCACATCTTTTTTCATACATTTTTGAATTTTACCTGTCACCACTACTAAATCCTTTATGCGGTTTACTATTTTGACGTCCACCAGCATAATTTACAGCGAATTTACAGGAAAACTTAAAATCGAATTATGAACGTTAATACCGGATTGATTAATGCTAGTTCTACAAAGTCTCCTCCTTAGTAGCTTTTGCAAATAGACCGAAAAAGGAACCTCGATTTTCATTGATAAAAAATATGCATATGTATTTGTATGTATAGATGAGATGTTCATCACTGACTAATATCTCAAACAATTCAGACTGTAAATAAGCCCGGAAATACGTATGGGCGGTGCCACGCCCTCTTTTCCAAAATCTACCATATTTCGCCGTAGCTACGGTATTGACAACATATGTTGCTGAGTCAAATTTCAGGACGTCAGCGTAAGCGGTTCCAGAGATAAGCGATATGAGAATTTCAGTTTGTATGGGCGATGCCACGCCCACTTTTCCAAAATCTACCATATTTCGACGTAAGTACGGTATTTACAACGTATGTTGCTGTGTCAAATTTCAGGATGTCAGCATAAGCAGTTCCAGAGATAAGCGATATGAGAATTTCAGTTTGTATGGGCGATGCCACGCCCACTTTTCCAAAATCTACCATATTTCGACGTAAGTACGGTATTTACAACGTATGTTGCTGTGTCAAATTTCAGGATGTCAGCATAAGCAGTTCCAGAGATAAGCGATATGAGAATTTCAGTTTGCATGGGCGGTGCCACGCCCCCTTTTCCAAAATCTTACACTTTTCGCCATAAGTACGTTATTGATATCATAAATAGCTGTGTCGAATTTGAGGACGTTAGCATAAGTGGTTCCAGAGATCAGCGATATGAGTATTTCAGTTTGTATAGGCGGTGCTACGCCCCTTTTTCCAAAATCTACCGCATTTTACCGTAAGTACGGTATTGAAAACATATGTTGCTGTGTAAAATTTCAGAATATCAGCATAAACAGTTCCAGAGATAAGCGATATAAGAATTTCAGTTTGTACGGGCGGTGCCACGCCCCTTTTCCAAAATCTACCATATTTCGCCGAAAGTACGGTATTGACAACATATGTTGCACTGTCAAATTTCAAGGCGTTAGCTTAAGCTGTTCCAGAGATAGGCGATATGAGAATTTCAATTTGTATGGGAAGTGCCACGCCCACTTTCCCAGTACCTACCATTTTTCACCGTAGGTAGGGTATTTACAATCTAGGCATCTTTGCTAAGTTTCAGTTCCCCAGCATAATTGGTTTTAGAGATATAGTGATTTTCACATTTTAGTCTATATGTCAGATGCCACGCCCCCTATGTGTCGGGATTAACATTTCTGGATTAGAGGAAGTTATGTCCTTTATATGGGTGTATCTTTCATTGAAATCGAGCGAACGGTGCCTTCAAAAAAGGGATTGCAAAATTTTCTTGCGGCGTATTTATATATAGATAGATAATACGCGAAGGCATTTTTTGTGCAGCATAAAAGATCTGCCCCGTTCGTTCGATTTTCAAAAATGGGGTGTCAAATTAAAGTGCTTGGCCTGTAGATGTGGAAACTGGTTTTATTTATTCGAAAAGAGTTGCCACCTGTTAAATAATTAAACTCAAGTTATGTTCTAATCAATGCACTCAGATCTGCACCGCAAAGGACTTAGGGTGTGGATGTTCAAGAAGGTGTTACTTTTTCGAAAAAAGTTTCCATCTGTTAAGAAATTAAGCTCAATCTAATTAAAAAGTTAAATCAGTTAATAAATATGGGCATCAATCGAAATGGTTTTGAAAAGGCTTTATAACTTAACTACGTATAGGAGGGCTGCCACATATTAAACAAAACGTAATTCAATTTTAATTCAAGGAATTTGGTAAGTGAATAAGGTATCGATATATGGGTGTCATACAAAAGAGGTTTAAGAAGGTAGTAGTTTGAAAATATTTTGAGTAGGGTTGCCACCTATTTGTGAAGTCTAATTGGACTATTTTTTATATGAAATATTAACGATGGATGTCAAATGAAAGAGCTTCAAGAAATACTTAGTTGATTATCAATGGTTGGTTATAAATGGAAATGGGATTAAAATCCTTTATTTAAGAACTAAATTTAGGAGGATTGCCACGTGTTTAAAAAATAAATTTTCACTTAATTCATCAGTTACATGAAATATTCATAACAATGTCAGACGAAAAGTATTTAAGGAAATTTTAGTTCGAAAATAATTTTTAGAGGGTTGCCGCCAGGTGAAAGTGGTATTTCGTTTAATTATACGTAAGTTACATGAAATTTTAAAATATGGTTATCAAAAGAACGAGTGTTAAGAAATCTCTAAGCTGAACATTTGGTTTTTTTTTCTTGAAAAAATTAAGCTCAAATTATTTAATAAGTTAAATGGATTGTCAAAGGATGGGTATCAATCGAAATGGGTTTGAAAATAATTTATTTCTAAACTGTAGTTAGAAGAGTTGCCATGTGCTTAAAAAATTAAACTCAACTTAATTCATCAGTTAATTGCAATGTATGTATAACAATGCCAGGCGAAAAATTTTAGTTTGAAATACTTTTAAAGGGAATTTGTTTTACTTATACGAAAGATACATAAATGAAATATCGAAATATTAGTGTCAAACGGAAGAGTTTTAATAAAACTATAGGCTGATAATATTTTTAATTAGAGTAGCCATCTATTTTTTGTGAAGGTCATCACATCTGCACCGTTATTTCGAATTTCCAAAATGAGAAGTCAAATTAAAGAACTAGAATTCTACATAGATGTGCACAGGTTTTACTTTTTGAGATTTGAAATGTGATGAAATGAAAACCGACACCATGCGAGACCTGTCATCACTGAGAAATGGTTCAGATTAATCATTAGGAATATTTTTAGAGGTTTTTGAATAGGGTTTCACCTGTTTAAAAAATTTAATTAAATGTTGGCGTTTTGACGCCATGCGGGTTCACTATTTTTATATACAAGACAAAATATATTGGGTTCATATATATCTATGTATGTCAACCCATTAAAGTACCTTTGTATATCGAGCCCTAAACGCGAAGAAAAACGTTTTATATCTTTGGATACAGAAGTGCTTCTAGAAAAAAATTAAAAAAAAAAATCGATTCAATCTTTTTCGACGGTTAGGGTTAGTAGGGTAGTAAGTACTTAAATAAATAAAATAAAAATTGTATTAGAAGCGGGGGCGGAGCTAAGAGCGGAGCTCGGAGCTAAATAAAATATCGGAGCGGAGCGATGAAAAAAATTCTTTGCTCCGAAGCCCTGGATTTTGTGTCCACATGTGCAAATATTTTTAATGCGAATATTATATAAAAGTATTTATCGATAATGCTTTAATCTTTGTATCGATACTTGCTTTAAATTAGCTCTTAACAGGTTATACATAAGTGTATTCAAATGACCATAATCCTGTAATTACAGGAGGGTACTATGTACATTGCTTGGGCGCGAGGCGAAAGTCGTTTGGCATTGAAAGATTACCAGTTTCCATTTCCCAATGTGTCATCTCACGAATCTGGTATCAAGATGATGCAGTTACTTCGCGCCGATAAAATTCTCATTCCAGAAACGTGAGTACAGGGTAGAATAAATAGGTAAGTTTAAAGCATTTAATAGCTAACCGTTGTTTTATGCAGAAATTTGAAAACCATTCAAGTTATACTCGAAAACGTGACCGTACCAGCAAAGGAAACAACATATTGGTGTCACGTACAAAAACTGGATGAATCATTCGCGACAAAGCAACACATAGTGCAATTCGAACCAATTATTACCTCTCGCGATCTGGTACACCATCTCGAAGTTTTTCATTGTGAAACAGATCCACAAGCTGAGATACCATTATATAATGGCGATTGTGAACAGTTGCCGATGGAAGCTAAAGTATGTTCGAAAGTGATTTCATTGTGGGCTATGGGCGCTAGCACATTCACTTATCCACCAGAGGCGGGTTTGCCAATCGGCGGGGAGGACTATAACCCGTTTATTAGGCTGGAAGTACATTTTAACAATCCTGAGGTGAAAGAAGGTATGTATGTAATGGATATAATTTTGAGCTAACTTACATTTTAACCTTCACTCTAAGCATATATGTATATGCAACATACATAAATATCCAACGGGACTGAAAGAAGCAAGTGGGGAGCGGTACAAAAGCAAACAACTTATAAGAGATAACTTATTATGGATTAACATAGAGGATACTTTTTCCGTTAGGTGGATCAAGTTTTAATCTATTGGAAAAATAGTCTATAATGTTCCGATTTGCTTGAAATTTGGCACGTAGATAGCTTATTGCCTGGATTAAAACATAGGGTACTTTTTGCGGTAGCTGGACCAGAGTCCGATCTATTCGAGAAAATCGTATTTATGGTCCGATTTCCTTGAAATTTGGCACATAAGATAGCTCATTGTCTGGATTAACATACAGGATACGTTTTTTTCCGGTAGGTAAACCTGGGTCCGATGTATTCTAAAAAAATTTTAATTTTGGTCTAATCGCTTGAAATTTGGCACGTTTACATACATACATAAGTGTGTACAAATTTACAGATTCCGATAGACGTTCTCATATATTTGACTTTAAAATAACATGAATAAACACATCGAATTCATAACATAACCCAAAAGGTCAAAATATTTAATTTTTTAATGTTTGATTTTTTTTATTTTAGTGCTTATCATAACTATACGGCACTCGCATATTGACAAGATTTGACTATTTATTTAATTATTTGTTTGTAAGAGTGCAGTTTATTCTTTAACAAAATAAGTCAAAGTTTCATTCTTCGCTTCTTAGCTTTTTAATAAGATTTTTTAGAAACATTTTGAGTGCTCTACTTTGTAGCCCATTTTAGTGTATTAAATTGCAAATTTAAAATAGTTGCAACTTTCCGTTGTTTTTTGGGAAATCTTTTTGTTGACAATGTCAGTCATTTTATCAACACGAGTACATATCGTTACCTTAATATAGAAAGGCCCTATCTAAAATCTTTGTGTTTCATTAAAATTGAATAGGAACTGCATTTTTAAAATATTTCTAAGAAATATAATTAAAAATATCGAAAATTTGTTGATATGTTTAAATATTGCACGAAGAAAGATACTTGGAATTATGCCGTTTTTTATTAAAGAATAACTATATTTCTACAAAAAGAATATTAAAATTAAAAAATAATTACATAAATAGTCAAATATTGTAACTAGTGTTCGCCCTGCGGTTGAAATTCAACCTTTTATATTAAGGGGAGTTGAGGTGGGCTGAACAAGATAACAGAATATAACATAACATAACACAACAAAACACAATACAACACATCACAATACAACAAATCACCACACAGTACATTACAAAACAACACAACACAGCACAAAAAGGAACTCAACACAACACAACATTACACTAGACAACACATTAACACAAAACAACACATTAACACAAAACAACACAACACAATACAAAACAACACAAAACAACACAGTACAATACAACACAATACAACGCAACACAAAACAACACAACACAAAACAACACAATACAGCACAACACAATATAAAACAACACAACACAACACAACACAAGGCAACACTACACAACGCAACATTACATTACAAAACATATTAACACAAAACAACACAACACACAACACAATATATTACAAAACATTACAACACAGCACAACAAAGCACTACACAACACAACATTACACTAGAAAACACATTAACACAAAACAACACAACACAATACAGCACAACACAATATAAAACAACACAAAACAACACAGTACAATACAACACACCACAACACAACACAACACAACACAACACAACACAACACAACACAACACAACACAACACAACACAACACAACACAACACAACACAACACAACACAACACAACACAACACAACACAACACAACACAACACAACACAACACAACACAACACAACACAACACAACACAACACAACACAACACAACACAACACAACACAACACAACACAACACAACACAACACAACACAACACAACACAACACAACACAACACAACACAACACAACACAACACAACACAACACAACACAACACAACACAACACAACACAACACAACACAACACGACACAACACAATACAACACAACACAACACAACACAATACAATACAATACAACACAACACAACACAATACAGCACAACACAATATAAAACAACACAAGGCATCACTACACAACACAACACAACCCAACACAACACAACACAATACAACACAACACAAGGCAACACAACACAACACAAGGCAACACAACACAACACAATACAAGTATAAGCAGAATAAAACCGAAATTGGTGGCTCTCTGTTAAATTATGTCCTTAAGCTCTGTGGAAAATTTCGTCGAGATTTTAGCTACATTTGTGATCAGAATGTACTAAAAACTAGTAATAAGTTATAAAGTTAACATTTTGTAACTGTTTGACAAATTTTGTTTCATTTATGAATTGTAGTTATTGAAAAAAATTAATTGAATGTTTTCCTTGAAAAGGATCATAAATAAATATTTTTTTAAATATGCTCAGTAAATATGTTAACTTATTTCAAATGTAATTTATAATGTTGTCTTTTAAAATATACTAGAGTGCCAGTTACTGCCGAAATTCGACAGTTTTTCTAGTTTTAGAAGCCTTGGAGAGGTTTTCTAACTTAACACGTAGCAAAACTTATACGGTACAAATTAACTAACCGGAAAATCTTCTGCTAAAACGTAACTAAACTTTTTTTTTTATCTGAGAAGGTCTTTGGAGGACTTCGGCAGGACTTGGAATTGACCCGATACATTCAAGTTTATCGATAAATTTCAATGATTTGATACATATCGATAGTTCGATGAATGTCAAGAACACTAAAATTCGATAACTCAACAAAATTCGTTAACTCAACCAATTTAGATAACTGTGAAATTCGATGGCTCGATAAATTTCGATAACTCAAAAATTTAAAAACTTTGGATACCTTTATAAATTTTTACTTTTGACACCTCCACATTTTTCGAAAACTATCTAAACATTTTGATAACTCGTTACACTCTGTTAAGATGATTAAATTCGATAAGCAGTGTTAAATCGATAAGCTTATATAACCTTGAAATTTCGATAAATCGATATATTTTGAAAGTTCCATAAACTTCGCTTCGTTGAACCAACCAATTTCAGTAGATCAATAAGATCGATAACTCTGTAAGTTGAAAGAACTGCATTCATTACGACACCTCCATATATTTCGTTAAGTCTATAAATAATGATAATTCAATAAATATCGATAACTTTATACATTTCTTTAACTTGACCAATTTCGTTAATCCCACACGTTTTTATAGCTCGATAACTATCCGTAAATTTGGGCAACTAAGTTTCTGTGACTATAAATTTCGACAACTCAGTAAACATTGATCAGTTTGAATAATTCGATACGTTGCGATAACTTAATAAGCATGGATAAATTTCGATAATTATAAACTTCGATGATTCGATAAATTTCAGTAACCTTTATGGCTGATTTTATTTCGATTCCTATCGGAAAATTTCAACTCTGTTAACCTAATTCTTATGTATTTCTCATCATCTCCATTTTAGCCTTTATCTCAATTTTCGTCTTTATCTTCACTTTTGCCCTTTTTTGTCTTCATCGTTATCACTTGTTTCTTCATCTTCATATTTATCTTTATTTCAAAGATTAATTTCAAATCCAAAGTAAAACAAAATGCGAAACAGCTTAAATTAAACAGGTTGCAAAAACAACCATACACAAATATGGGAATTTTTAAACGACGATTTTCAACCAATTTAGAAACTATAAAAACTCTCCTCATCTACAGAAAATTACCTTTCCACCGGTGTTATTGGTTTTGAAATCGGTAACTTTACTTTGGTCTTCATCTTTGTTTTTACACCCGAGCGCACTTGTGCACAAGGGTATTATAACTTTGTTCACATAACGGTTGTTTGTAACAGGCAAAACGAATCGAGATAGATATAGACAAATGTATACATAAATGATCAG